GTGTTTGAATAACTCTTTCCTTTTGTGATGCTGCTGCTCTAAGTAGGTGATGGGCAGGGATGTCACCCAGGAGATTCAAGCCCTAGGTTGGTGGTCGATACAAATGCTTTACTTACTGTCCCCTCTAACCTACACAGGTTATGTTAGGGTACTACCCCATAAGAGTTCTCAGAATTTCTCTGTCATGATGGTACTTTCATTCATGATAGTACATGAATATGTACAGTATCATGAAGTTCATGATAGCTGAACTTCAACTAGACTGGAACCTCCATAAAGGAGAAGTACACACTTACTTTGTCTACTGTCGTGGTCTTAGCATTCAGCACTAAACCTGCACATAGAAAATGCTAAAATCTTTGGTCAGTTGAATTGAGCGTGGCTTTCTCTGTCATATTGTCCCTGCCTTTCTTGAAACTTAAAGCTGGGTAAATAATTCACCCTCATCTTAATTGTAATGGCCAATGTATTTTCTTTATAAGAAGATGCTCAAGCCATGGCCAGGTAGCTCAATTGGTTAGAACATCATTGGTATCCAGATACATCAAGGTTGTAGGTTGTATCCGTGCTCAGGCCACATATAAGAATCCACCAATGAATGCATAAATAAGTGGAACAACAAATCAATGTTTCTCTTTCTCTCTCCACTTCCCCCCCCCCAAATCAATCTATAAAAATTTTAAAGAATACTCAAATAGTGTAATGTGACTAAGTTTTTGAGTTGGTGATGAGACTTTAGAATTTATGCAATTGTCCAATTTCTTTGTTATTAAATTGCCATGACGTTCATAAAACATTGTTTTATCATGTAACATCAGCCATAGAGTGTTTAATCTTTACATCTCGCTGTTTTAAGACACATCATAATTCAAATGCCAAAGGTTAAAGATAAGGAGAAGATCTTAAAAGCAACAAGAGAAAAGCAGAAATTTGCCTACGAAGGAGTTATCCCATAAGGCTATCAGCTGATTTCTCAAAAGAAACCTTACCGGCAAGAAGGGGCTGGCAAAAAGTATACAAAGGGATGAAAAGCAAGGACCGACATCTGAGATTGCTCTCCAGCAAAGCTATCATTTAGAATGGAAGGGCAGATAAAGTGCTTCCCAGATAAGGTATAGCTATAGGAGCTCATCACCAAGCCAGTATCACATGAAATGTTAAAGGGTTTATTTAAGGGGGAAAAATAAAGATCAAAACTATGAACATTAAAATGGCAACAAATTCACAACTATCAACAACTGAATCTTAAAACAAAACAAAACAAAAACCACTAAGCAAACAACCAGAACAGGAACAGAATCACAGAAATGGAGATCATTTGGAGGGTTATCAGTTGGGAGGGGAAAGGGGGATAACGGAGGAAAAGTTGCAGGGATTAAAAAGCATAATTGGTAGCTACAAAATAGACAGGGGGATGTTAAGAATAGTATAGGAAATGGAGACATTAAATAACTTATATGTACAACTCATGGACATGAACTAAGGAGGGGGATTGCTAGAGGGAAGGGAGGTACTGGGTCAAGGGGGTAAAGCAGGAAAATTGGGACAACTGTAACAGCATAACCAATAAAATATACTTCAAAAAAGAAAGAAAATGCATGGTCATTGTACTTATTGGTGTAATGGTCCCTCATTGTAATCACTATTATCATTATGTTTGCATAATAAAAACTTACAAAAATTACTTTAATCAATGCTTGAAGTCAGGGGTATCACTTTAACATAGGTTTTGTTCTGGCTTTTCTTTTTTTAGTTAAAAAAATCCGTTGTAGGTTAAGTTTAGGGAAAACATAGTAAGGTCGAACTTTCTGAAATGGCAGAAAGACTTGAAAGGACAGGATAAATGAGCAAGATCTGCTTAGGATAGAACTGACAGGACTCGGAATCTAATGTTACAAATTGGACAGGTCAGGGACGAGATGCAGACAGCAGACAAGTTTTGCTTGGTTTGTACAATGTTTTACAAATGCTTGAAGTTGTCTGCCAAGTCATCTGGTCCCCAACTCCCTATTGACTTATTTCCAGCAGCCTTATTCATTGACTTTACCTGGTTGGCCCTCATGAGTACTAAGTACCTACATCCTTAAGTGAAACATGAAACTTGGGATGGAAAGAGGTGAAAATGGAGATTTTAAGGATATATGGAATTTGAAAGGCCCTTGAGCCCACTGAGGGTGGAGGCTGGGATACCAATGTAGGACTGTGTAAAGCTGAGAGTTGAGGTTCTGAAGAGATCAAATCCAAGAAGCTTAAAGACAAAACTTAGGGAATCACTCATATTTTACCAGCTGTAAGTCACCAGAATCCCAATGAAGGGACAGAAGCTGTAATAAGAGAAACAGGGTAGAGCAAGGCTATAAAGGGCAAGGAATGATTCAAGGGTAAGGTAGTCAACTGCACCTAGAGTGAAAGGATAAGGATGGAAACAGGGAGGGAGCTATTAGATTTGGTGCTTAGGCTGCTGCTACTATCAAAGAGCCAGTTCAGCAGAGAAAAGAGGTAAAATTACAAAGACATAAAGGAGTAGATGTAGATGCAGGTGGACAAGCTACTCTTTTAGGATGACTGACAGCAGAGGGAAGGAGCTGAAACATCATTCCGTGATATGTAGAATAGATCTCAGGACCTGGTATTTTGAAAAAGAAAAAGGCCAATGGAAAAGGAGCAAGGTTTATAGGAGATAGAGGTTGGTCAAGTGGAAGTAACTCTGGGAAGAAGATATGCCTCTAGTGAGAATACCAAGGAAGATGGAAATTTTTTCAAATATTGAGGAATGTTAAGGGGGTGCTGGTTGGATGGTCTATAGTGTGTTAGATGAGGTTGGCAGCTATAGGCATGCAATCTTGAGCTTTAGGAAAATAGAAAAAGGCCTGGGATAGCTGGAATAAGCAATGTGGTGCAGGCCATTCAGGAAAACAAGACAGGCTTGCTAAACTAAGCAGCAAGGAAAGCTCAGCTGAGATTGGCAAGCATTAACCAGGTTCAAACTGCCATGACTTTGTGACTTCATTATCTATTACAAACCGCAGGTTTGCAAAAGGTTCACGAGGTTCATTCTTCACAGTTACCTTTCTTGTAGAAAGGATCATTTTACACACATGAATTGCGAGCCCATTCAAGCCATAAACATGGTTCCTCCTGAGTACACTAGGTGTTAAACTACCAGTCTTCAGGGGCACAGTCTTAGGATACCTGTCGTAATGTCTAATGTGAAGATATGATGGAGAATTTCATTAGAAAATGTTTCTTTTTATTACCAGGATTATTTATTCTAAGCAAGTGATACTCCCCCCGCCCCCTTCTTTGTGCATGTTGCAAGTTGTGAAGCTGATTAGGATCTTTTTTCAAGTCAGCTAACAGTTGAGGGAAAAAAAAATCTGGACTAACCTCTGGCTAAGGAATAGAGCTAAGCAGGCTACACTTTTTATTGGCCTTATTTCTGCCTCTAATTTTTGACCTCATCCTGTTTCTTCTTCTCATTTGTTTTTGTTATCTTGTTACATTTCACATATTCTACAAACCACTTTAAATCCTTTTTTGGAACAAGATAGAACATATAAATATTAAACATATAAAAACTTAAGCTACTTCAAGTACATGAATACTTGTGGCAATTATCATATAAAAAGCAATTAGTTACAGGCCACCAGACCCAAAAAAGCTTTTTAAAAATCTTACAACTCTCCATTTACTGCCACTTGCAACATGGATGGACCTTGAGAATATTATGCTAAGCGAAATGAGTCAGTCAGAAAAAGCTAAGAATCATCTATTTCACCGATATGTGGGATAGAAAACTGAAACTCATGGACACAGACAACAATGTGGTAGTTACCAGAGGGAAGAGGTTGGGGGTAGGGGGTGGAGGGAGCCTGTTATGTGGTGACAGAAGTTGATTTGACTTTGGGCAGTGCGCACAGTGCAATTTACAAATGTACATATGAAACCTACATGACCCTATTAACCAATGTCACCCCAATAAATGTAATAAAATGTATTTTTGTAACGGAAAAAAAAAGAATGGAAGTATATAGAGCAGAAAACCAACTTTGCAACTAGAGAATTATAGCAAAATTACTGAATTAATACTAAGCTAGATCTTGTCTCTGTGCCCTCTTCAGAGAGCCATTAAATGTCACATTACATATTTTATTAACACATGGTTGTATCTAACACCTTTAAAAAAAAAAAAAAGACTGAGATGTGTCTTAATTTTTTTTGTGTGAGAAGACATAGCATAATTATTCCTGAGAACTTAAGAAAAGCAATTTGCTCTTTTCAATTATTTTGGATGCTTTCTTTTCAACTCAATTAACTCTACTCAGAATCGCTATCTTGTAGTAGGCTAAGAAAGTGGGCTCTGGAGCCAGACAACTTTGTTTTAATTTCCAATTCAATAGCATGTATGACGTTAAAGCAAAAGACTTGTTTCCTCACTTGAAAAAAGGTGCTAACAGAATGTGCCTCATAAGATTTTGAGAGCTTAAGTGCATGTAAGGTACTTAAAACAGTGCCTATACCATTTTAAGTGCACAAAAAGTTGGTAGCTATAATTATTTTGGTTTTACAGCTGGGTAGACTCATGAGCCTCTGGGGGTCCAAGCTAAAATTTTGGACCTAAACAAGTCAATGACCAGCTGGACTCCAGAAGCCCAAGCTAATGTGTAGCTGAAGACCAAAGAGGAACCTTTCCAACGAGTACCCTGCTGAGAAATACCTATGGAAGTCAAGCCTTCAATTCAAAAAAATTCTCATTAATGGTATTTTGCACAAGTTTGATACCATAATCCAATGTTGTCTCCTACTAGAGCCCTACTGAATTCATTTATTATAAAAGTATTTATTGAAGGCCTGCTCTATCATGTAGTAAGTTTTAAATACCACACACACACACACACACACACACACTAAACCACACTCTCCCCTCACCATGGCTTCAATCAGCCAAATAACAGCTCCCAGACATTACCAAAGAATCAAAAATAAAGTGTTATACCTGTCGCGAATTTAATGGAAGTCACAAATAGGAGCCTATCACAATTTCAAGTCTTAAATACTCAAAACATACACTGTGAGACAACAATAAATAAACTTTGGGGTCCCATTTGTAGGAACCAGTCCCACATAGAAAGAATTTGGTAGGAGTGAAGAGTAGCAACTGCTTAGTCCTCCTGGATCATTCGCTCTTCTTCGGGAAGAATACTCCAGTTTGGCGAGGGCACATCCCGGGCCAGCCAGTTGAAATCGTCAATGTCGCTCCAGTTATTCTTGCTCCTATCTAAACCAGAGCCCTCGAAGTCTTTGTCGATCCCCGGGTAGCTCCAGGTGTAAGGGGCGAACTGGATCCCACTGCAGTCCTCCACGATGGCCTTGCTGGTCACCTGCAGGAAGATGCGGGTGTTTCTCGTAGTGTGTACCCGGAGCTGCTGGCACGCCACGGCCAGCACGCACTCACTGCAGTCATCCAGAAACACAGAGGTGGTCACCGGGCCGCAGAGCACTGTGCAGCTCCGCGCCTTGGTCAGCCGCAGAGTGTTGGGATTGCCATACAGTCTGACCGTACAGTTGCTCAGTTCGGTCAAAAGGACGTCTCGCTGGTGCAACTCCTCCGCCCTCTTCTCCAAGACTTGGGACTTCTGGTTGGAGAAGCCGCAGAGCCAGCTGGAGCCGAAGTCTCCCTCCTCCTTCAAGGGCTGCAGGGAGGCCAGGATGCCTTCCGCCGCCGGGGCGCCAGGAACCGCATCTACTTTGGTGGCTGAAGCAGTATCTTTCCTCCGGGTTTTGAAAGCGAAACGCTTCTTGGGCTGCAGTTGCTGGCGCCTGTCGGTCAGGGCCGCCTGCAGCCGCGCTAGCGCCTCCTGTCCCTGTCGCACGTCGTATGGGGCCAGGAACAAAACCGAGTCGTTAAGAAGTTTCTGCAGCCCCTGAAGCCGAGCGGCCGCCTCCTCTAGCTGTTCAACGGACTCCCCGCGCTCCAGAAGCTCTTCCACGGCTGCTCGCTCCCGGGCGAAAGCGGCAGCGAAAAAGTCGCTGTTTTCCTCCTCTACCTCTTGGTTCTGCCGCTTTTGCTTCCGTCTTTCCACCTCCAGCTGCCTCTCTTGTTCTCGTCTCAGAAGCCGCTCAGGCACCAGGCTGCGGTCCCGCTGGGACCCCACATCCCCGTTCCCAACGACGGCAGCAGAGCTGCTGGCTGTCTCCATCTTGACTGCAAGCTTCCTTTCTCCGGCATTCCTTCCTCCGGGCGCGCCCTCCGTGAGGCCTCCCACCAACGCGCCCTTTGATTGGCCGGCCAGGATGACGTCAGAAGAACAGCCTCATTTTCCTCGCCCATTGGTTCATCCTTATCGAAGGGGTGTGTGGGGTGGGGCCGACTGACAAAGAGGGTGGAGAGACAAAGGTCCTTGTGGATGGGTGGGGTGCGAGGCAGGCGGGGGAAGTTTTTTTCCTCTTAAAGGGGCAGGACTTATATCCGGGATTGTGGGGTGAGTTGCAGCAGCGGCAGCTGCACATGTGGGTTTGTTTATAAGAACAAGGTTAGAAACTCGCAGGCTTCCCCCTCCCCCCAGCTCCTCCCTACTACCCCCTTACAGGCCAGAGATCTGCTACTGGTGGGGGGAGTGTGTGCGTGTGGTGGGTGAGGGGACAGGTAGTGGTGAGAAAGATGGAGGGGGGAGGGAATATTGCACCGCCCGGCCCGCGCCGGAGGAAGCGGCAGCTGGAACAGCTGGCCAGGGAGCCACTTGCATGCCTCTGTTTTTTTCTTTTCTTTTCCACCACCCCTTACCCCCAACCTATTCCTGCCGTCCCAAAACCCTTATCCTTCCCGCCCCCCAACCGCGGAGCCGCTGCAGTTTGGCGTGGCCTGAGGCTCCAGGGTCCCCGCAGGCAGTTACTAGCGCGGGAGAAGGCGATGGGGAACCGGGATGGCAGAGACTGGGTTCCTCATCGCAACCGGTTTCAGAGGGCCCCGGGGGAGCCTAAAAACGGATTACTTTTTTTTTTTTTTGGCCAGTTGCGGCATTTGGCGGGGTGGGGGCAGGGGGGTGAGATTCCACACCCCCTTCCTCTTCCTCCTACGTCCTCCCCGCTTTCGCTGTCACTCCCTCCGCCTCTGGGCACTGCTGGGCGCGCTGGGGTGAGACCCTAGCCCCAGGCTCTGTGGCTCTCCCTGGGGCTGTCGGTCTTTAGGAAACGGACCGGGGAAATGTTGCATTATTGCTAGAGGTGGTGGGAGGGATTTGCCACCGGAAGTGAATGTGCCTAGCTTACAGTCGGGACCAGCCCGAGGTGTGAGTGGGCAGCCAAGACGGCGCAGTCAGTAGTAAAACCCAGCGCAGCAGGCCGGCGAGAACCTGGACGCAGCCGGCTGCGGGCGCGCGGCCATCTCTCGGGCTCCGTGCAGCCCGGCAGAGCGCAGGGGCCTCTTTGACCCGGCGCACCCTTCCAGTCGAGGGTTTCACTCTTATCCTCCGCCACACACACATTTTCCGGCCTTCGTCGTTTTTATTTGGGGTATATAACTGCCCAAGAAATTGTCACTTGACAGTTCACGAATATGCCTGCATTTTCATGCAGGGAAAGATGGGAGGGGAAGGAAAGAATTAAGACTCATCTCCAATTCTTCACGCCCCACTTTCCTCCTTCCTTTCCCATTAAAAAACAAAACAAAGCAAATATTTGTATTTCTCTATTGAAAGCACAGGTCACCCAGTTGGCAAATTCTGCGCAGGGGTGGTAGGTGTCTCTGTTTATTTGTGCACGTGCACCCGATGGAAGTGAGGGTGCTGGAAAATTCCGGTGCTTATGCTGGTATATACTACTCGTTTGCTTTGTTTCATGGACAAGATAAATGAGGCTTTTTGGGTTTTGTGAGGTATGGTTCTAAGACTGGTGAATGAAATATAGCTGGTTATCTTGTCTAAATCATACAGAGGAATGCAATAACTGCTTTATTTTATGAAGAGTTGATTTAACCAAGGAAGATTTAGACATTTATTTTACTAGAGCAGGGAAAACCCTGACTTGCCTTTTTCACGTTTTTTAGCAATTTAATCTGTGTCACAAAAACTAAGAAAGTTTGTAGCCAAACAAGTTTTATTGGACTTGGGAGTTACAGCTGGGATCAGGCAACATTTCTGTATTAGCCATAGTGAATCTATGAGTGGTTGTTAGTGTTGTCTGTATCAGAAGGCAATTGAATGTCATTAAACTCTTCCCGGAATTTCATTTCTGCCCCACAACAGATTTTGGCATAGAGTCCAGAAGTTTCTAAGTATTTTCAAATTGGCTAGTTCAAACTTTAATGAGAGAGAAGCAGTAAAGGACAAAAATGAACAGGTCATCCGGTTGATCTAGTGTGTTAAGGGGCAGTTCGAAAGACTTACGTGAAAGCCCGAGGAGAATGGGCAGGGGTCAGTGTTGTGGTCATCAAGAAGCATTGTTGTGACAGTTTTTTACAGTGGCCAGCACAACTGCTAGGTTAAGACATGGATTTCAAGTTACACTTCCAAGTTCGAAACCAATAGGAAGGCTGCAAAACCTCTGGCATTGCCAGACTGTACTTGTATCTTTTCTGATGTTTGAGGACAGTCAATTCAGTGTATACCCTTGAAATAGATCCCAGCTCCTCAGAGATAAGAAGTAAAGAGGTGATGTGCTACAACAGAAATATGACAAAAGGCAGACAGCCATGAGTTCTGGATCCTACTTTCAAAGATACCTTAAAAGGCTTGTGAATCAAAGTACTGCTCTCTTTTAGACATCTTAAAAAGTGCACGAATTTTTAAATATTAGACTTTAAAAATTACTTAAAAAATAGACACTTTTTTCCTATTAGATTTGCTTTTTAACTTTTTGAACATTTCAAACATAATAAAGTGGAAAGAAGACTATCAGGTGTACCCATCACCCAGTTTCAACCATTAACAACTGACAGTCTTCTTTCTTCTAAAGCCCTAGCCTCTTCCCCATCCCTCCTCACTCTGATTATTTTATAGCAAATCCCAGGCATTATTTCATGCTTTACAATCTATAAATATTTCAGTATGTATCTCAAAAGATTAGGACTGCCTTTTTAAGACATAATCACAATTCTATCAACTATTACCACACTCCAAAAATATCATCAGAGCTCCAGTCTATATTCATATTTCTTTGATTATCCTATAATTTCCTTTGTTATTTTATTTTATAAAGATCCAAGCAAATTCCATACAATTGTCTAAAAGGTCCAGTTAATATGTCCCTTAAATCACTTTTAAATCCTCTCTCTCTCTCTCTAATTGTTTCGTTGGGGGAAAAAAACCTGGTCATTTGTTCAGCAGAGTTTCTGACAGTCTGAATTTTGCTAGTTGCATCTTCATACTGTGCTTGTTAAATTTTAAATATTTGTCATATGTTTTTGATCTTTTAATGTCATAAAGTGAATATTTATGTATTGATATGCCACAGGAAATCAATAACCAAGTACCAAAAGCATTTAAGCACAATAAAATGGTCTTTAGGTATGGCTCTACAACAGAGAATAAGGTCTTTTGCTGTTCTGTGGAGTTTGTCAGGGACCAGTGCTGTGGAAGATGTCAGCTATACTTAGGCACAATGAAACAGATCCAGGCCCTGTATACTAGTTCCTTGTATTCTAGTCGCTTGATGCCAGGAGGAGGTGTCACCTATAGTGGATATAAAGCATTCATTAAAGAGCTAAAGAGCTCTAGTCCTGGCTGGTGTGACTCAATGGATTGAGTGCTGGCCTGTGAACCAAGAGGTTGCCGGTTCAGTTCCCAGTCAGTGCACGTGTCTGGGTTGCAGGCCAGGTCCCCTGGGTGGGGGTGAACAACAGGCAGCCAATAGATGTATCTCTCACACACTGATGTTTCTCTCTCTTTCTTTCTCCCTCCCTTCCCCTTTCTCTAAAAATAAAGAAATAAAATCTTTTTTAAAAAATAAATAGAGTTCTATATCTCAAGTATCAAATGGTAGGCAAATATTCCTACCTTGTTTTCTGACACAAAGACAATGAAAGATGACAGCTGGGGGGTATATGTTGTTCTTGAATAAGCTCCAGATTGATCTGGAAAGCAGGACAGGAGCAGCCCCTTCCTTCCACCTTTGCCCCTGGCTTTCCTCCTCCCCAGCACCCTTCACTGTCTGGAACTTTTGTTAGCATCATACCCCTAAAGCCTAGCATGGAGGCTGGAAATGTGTTATTTCTCTAACATCAGATTATTAGGCACTTACTGTGGCCAACCCTGAGCCAGGGAGTTCCTCAGGCTGCCACGGTGAATAGAGACAGACTTAGTCTCTATCCTTGAGGCCTAATCTAGGCAAAAAATTTCACAAAAGTGAAATTTTAACAGTGACAACTGACAACTGTTACAAAGGAGAGAAGAGCAGGGAATGCCACTGGTGGGTGGTTTGACCTTGTTAGGGAAGTGAGTGAAGACTTCCCCAAGGGGCTGAAAGGGTGAGAAGGAATTAAGAAGTGAGTGTACACTGAAAAGTGCCTTTGAGATGTCTGGGCTCTGGGGGCCCTGGGACGTCCCGGAGAGCTGTGTCAGGAGCGCGGCGGCGGCCAGGAGGCAGGCTGCCGGCGAGACTAGGGGTGCGAGTCGGGTAATGGAGCTGGTGACAAACAGATCACATCCTTTTACTAAGATTTTTAAAAAATTATTTTTACTGATTTTTTTTTTTGAGACAGGGGAAGGGAGGGGGAGAGAGAGGGAGAGAAACAACATCAGTTGGCTCCCCATGCCCCCCAACAGGAGACCCCGCAGCCTGAGCAGGTGCCCTGACCTTTCGGTTTACGGGATGACACTCCAACCTACCGAGCCACACCAGCCAGGACAAACAGACAACTCTTTGGATAAGTTTGAGAAGAGGAAGGGAGAAAACTGGGGGAGGGGGGACAGTGGGGTGTTTTTGATTTCTACAAAAAGAGAAGACTTAAGGTCCCAAATGTAAGGGCCTGAAAAGGTGGGGGGATGGGGACCTAAAACAGGATTAGCTGTGGGTAGGAGGAGGGATAGCTTCTCTATTGCAGTGTTGTTTTAACTTTTTACTATGAAAGTTTTCCAACATAAACTTTTTTTTTTCCCTTAATCCATAGTAACAGATTCATTATAATTGAAACAAGCTTTAAGAGACAGTAAATTACTCTGCAATAGATACTATTTTCTATTCTATTTGTTGCATTAAAAAGTTGCTGATCAAGACCCCTTAAATTAAACTGCAGTTTAAAGATGTTCTATCAGTAGGAGAGGGTGCAGTCTTCGGTGGATTTGTGTTTGGTAGTTGCCATATGAATCTGATGATTTCTGTGTTCTTAATAAAGTAGGCAG